GTAAGAATGCGATTTGTTCTTCGAGTTTGACCACGGATTGATATCAGTTAGAGGACAATTGAAAGCCGACCACAGAGTAATGGACAATTGTTTCCTCCCAGTCTCCAAGGTCTCATTGGCCGCACGTATCCACCATAGGGGTTTGAACCAACGACCTTCCGGTTACAAATCAAGGTCGTATAACATTCACCCACTGGTACCCGACTCCTCAATGGCCAGTTCATGAATTCTAACTTCTACCGATTCATGATTTAGCGCTACTGGCACCAACCAGTATCATCGGTGATAACTCCATCCTCACACTTGACAGGAAGGACCCGACTGGTCACAACTTTTCACTTGAACTTGAGGCGAATATCTCCGTCCTGTACCAAGTCACTAATAAAAGCAAATCTAATCCTTAGAAATCAACTGTTGAAAATAAATTAGAAAAGACGCGATATGTATACTGCCAGGGAATTCCTAGAAGCCTCGTACTCAAGTGAATTAGCAATTAAAAATACACAATACTACTATAGACCAAATTTACCAGCCAATAAAAACTAAATTACATGACAAGAAAATTCGAATTCCAAGTCAACAAAAACGATCAGTAGAGAGGTAAATTAACAACAAGTCACGACAAAGGAGATTGATCAGGAGATACAATGATATCGTCATTCATGGAGAATTTAAATAGGTCCATCTTATGCTAAAAGCAAGCATAAAAGCGACCTACACAAAAAACTTGAAGGATCTGGACTTCGCCGATGTGATATATGTCTGATTCCGCACAAACACTGGAAGATACGCAAGTGAAAAGCAACAAGTTGGAGATAGAAGAAGCGTCAAAGATAGGATATCAGGGGTGAATATAGAGAAAACAGAGATGATGATGATGATGATGAAGATCCTGGACAACAGCTACAGCAACAACAACAGACGACAATCAGCACAAATGGGAGAAATCTGAAAGGAGTGCGGATGAGGAAAGCAAGGCAGACTTTCATTTCTCTGAAGTCTGTATGGAGTTGAACAGCACTCAGAATGAAAAATAAGACCAAGATTCTCAACTCGGATGTGAAGTCAGTGCTACTTAGTATACGGATCAGAGACTTGGCGCCGTGTCACGAAGGGCACTTAGTACAAACTACAGACCTTCATCAACAACAGCTGTCTCTGCTCAGTACTTCGCTCAAGATCAAACGGCCGGGCAGAAAGAATCAGCAACAATGATCTCTGGCAATGAGTGAACCAACCCAGCAGGAACCGATTTTGCAACAAATATCCATGAAGAAATGGAGGTGGATTGGTGGCCAAACTCTGAGGAAACAATCACTAGACAGGCCCTCGAGTGGAACCCAGCCGAATAGGAAGCAGCGAGCCAGTTGGTCTTCATTGAAAGGGTGACATGTAGGAGGAGCAGGTCATGTGAAGAGGAGATGACAGCATATGGGCAGACATGGAGCCAGGTGATGAAAACATTAGCAGAGAACCGAACGCAATCGAGATGTGCGGTTGAGGAACATAGGGCTTCAAGGAATTATTAAGGGAAACAATAATATGATAACGACCAGTTCACAGAATACAACCATATCAAGAATGAAGTATGTACTAAATATTATTGATTATGCTTTTTTGGTTAATACAGTCATCATTATGATTAGTGTTACTATTATCATTTACTTCTCTATATAAAGTGTTTACTGATATCAGAAAGACTGATTGACCTAAGGTAATTTATCATATTTCATTATAAATATATATATATGCATGCTCTTCTAGGCTAATATATCAATGAAGACGTATACGTATGCACACACGCACGCACAGAGGCGGCCACACTCACACAAGCATACACACACGTACACGCATACATGACAAAGCACAAACAAATAGACGAACAAAACAGGTTTATCATTATTTACTACTAAAAAGAAAATAAGTAAACCACCTTGACCTAATTTATAATTAGGAGAGAGAGAGAGAGAGAGAGTGAGTGAGAGAGAGCACGATAGAATTTCACAAATGTATTGTACTATTGTATCATTCATTCATTCACTCATTCATCAGTAATCAGTTAGAAAATCAATATTATCAGGTGAGTGTGGTAGTTTTTCACAAATTAAGGTAATTATAGAACAGAATTTAAACAACTACATATATATATTTGCTAATTTCTCATCAGACTTTACAACTATATGATGAAATTATTGATCAGAGAGAGACCTTTTAAACCAATGTGGTTTGTTTCAAGTGCGGTTAGAGACTGTTGTTATCAGATGGTGGAGGCGGGAGGACCATTGAAAACCAAGCATGGAGTACTGGGCAGCTGCAACGTTCTCTTCATCAGTATTTACCTACCGGCATCCATCAGAATTAACCGGATGCTCGCTAGTGACTAGATACAGAACGAAGTTGACTGGAGATTCTTCTTCTATCCATTTAGAACTCTTGCGTAGTTTCGTATTCCTTTTTTGTTTCTATGTGTATCCTGAGTAAAACTCAATCATCAAACTATTCATATTATTACATAACTTCTTTTTTAACAACTGTTTGTGACAACTCATCACCTTTGTTACTACCCTAATTTCATTAACACCTATTTTATTGACTGATTTTGTATTATGTAACTCTAACAACCAATATTCACCTGTTTAGTTAAAATAATTATAACCAATTGTATTGTTTAAGTATTCGTTTTGTAGGGATTTTGTTTGATTGTATGGAGGATTTCATCATGAGCTGACATCGGTTAGAGGATCACTGGAGCATAGTTTTACGAAGAAGAAGAAAGGAAGGGTGTGAGAAACTCTATACGACAACACCTGATCGACTTTCGTTAGTTGACCAACTACGATCATATTTTTGAGATCACCTATGGAAACCATGCCAACTTACAACATTTTCTTCGTTTCAATGTTTTAAAGACAGTCTAAGCCATTTAGTTATTCGTGAATACAAACTAGAGCACTTGCGAGAGTTAAAGAAACATGTACACCCCGCGTATTTCTACCTTGGCTGCAAAAAGAAAAGGCATTTGTTGATTTTCATCGTATTTTTTAGAACTTATCAAATTTCTCATCATGTTATGCAGTGTCTTGTTTGCAACCTGTTATTACTAATCCTATTAACTTTACATCCCTTTCCGAGATCTATACATTCGGCGAACTATTTTATATGTTAAGTAACCTGTTTTATATCTTGATACTGAAATGTGATCATAATCGCAAATATTTTATCCTATTTCCAATAAGTATTTACAACGTTTTAATTGAATTTTAGATTTTCCCATCGATTGATTAGACTGAAGTACTCGGTCTCAGGTTGACACGTCGGTTTCTTGTGCAGATGCTTCGACGATGTCTGGGCATGTAATTGGTGGATGGCCACTAGCAGTGAAAGAATCCAGGATGGGCATTTCCTTCTATTCAAGACTCGTCAACTGGATGTACCTTCATTTTTCAGTGGGTGATGATGTTCCCATCGAGGCTTGAACCCACTGCCCAAAAGCCAGCTGCAGCGTTAATAACTAGACCACTTAGTCCACGAGAACCACCTCTTGTGCAACGGGTCATAATAATTATTTAATTGAATTTTGGATTTTACCGTCGATTGATTGGACCGAAGTGCTCAGTCTCAGGTTGACTTGTTGCCACATCCAGATGCGCATCTTCGATTCCACTGCTAGTCACCATCCACCAATTAAATTCTATTGACAACTTTTGTTCAAGTTTCCTCACTGGATAGAGTTTCTCAAAGATCATGCGCATATATGTGGTTGTATAGCTTGATAATAAAGTCGTTGAAAAGAGTCTCTGCGGTGAATATTATTTTTCTAATGTAATGAGAATCCGGGTTATTAGACTTGCGGTGATCTTAAAATAATTTCACTCGTGGCAGTTGTTTTGTTGTATTTCAGGACTCTTTATCGGTGCGCACCCTTAGTCCTGCCGAGGGTCGAACCCAGGACATCTTGGTTGCAAGATCAAGCTCGTTAACCACTCATACACTTGCTTTGAAATTCAATGTCCTGTGAATGCTAACTTGGTCACTTTATGAATAGTCAGTGAGCTCGGTTCTGGGTTCGATCCTTGACGAAGTCATGGATGCGCACAGATGAAGGGTCCCAAAATGAATGCTCCCTGATGGTTTTCAGCAATCTCTCTAACTGGTGTTGGTTCATAAGAGAAGCCATACAACTGAAACAAACAGGAAATATTAAACTTATTGATAAACTGAACAGCACAGTGTTTATGTCTGACTGAAATATTCGACTTTCAGTCGACTTGTCCCATCGGTCCATCTCAAACCCCTAAAAGTGTCAATTTTCGTCAAAGTGTAACAGAGTTAGGAAGGAGATTTTCTCTTTTTTCCCTCATTCATGATTAGTATTCAAACTCGATGAAACATGATTTTTTGTAAGATTAAGTGTATGTATATCGTGTTCAAATGACATGGCGAGGAGATGGTTGAACACTGATCATTTTCCAAAACTCTAAATACCCTCCAAGAATAATTTCACCTCCTTGGATGGAAAGAAAAAGGCGAAAATCATTTAAGGCACCTGAAAAACCTTCCCTTTAAGGAGAACAAAAATTGTCTGTAATCTACAAAACAATGAGATGATGAAATAATTGAAAATGATTTGACATAATACTGATGAAGACGAAATACGATTTATACAGACTTTCTCACTGACGTTTCCTGCCTATATATATATATATATATATATAGAAAGATTAGTTAATTTGGTCCAATAGAATATTTAGTCAACTTGTAAAAATCACCCACAAGGCGGATTCTTTTTGAAAATATATATATGTGGACATGAACACACAGTGAAAAATCAGGGTGGTTAGCGGCAAAAAGTTGATTCATTTCTGGTTTTCTATACTTGGACAACTCGTCTCCTAGTTCTATTACGCCTACGCCTACATGTTACGCTATCCACTACAAATGATTCCTATCTGTTGTCTGTCGACTTCAAAGAAGTGGAGAGTTTAATGATTACAGCTTACCTTGAAACTTCGAAATAGTAAATAGAGTTCTCTTGATTTCGCATCCAATGGTAATCCACTGACAAACAGTGTACGCACTTGATGCTGGAAAATAAACACATAAAGCGGAAAAAAGAGTTAAGTTTACTTTGAGAATATTTTTTAGTAATTATCGGTTGTGTGAATAATGCAAGGACAAACATATTTGATTCTGTACCTAGGTCTAGTATGTTAAACAAACTTGCTGTGACACAAGCACAGTGTCGGACTAATAAGTGATTCCATTCCTATTTCTTCTGAAAAGAGGCAGTACATTGTTTACAATGGGAAGTCCCCCACATCTAGCTGATGTTCCTCACTCAGTGCGCTGTTCTTTCTTCTTTTCTGTTTCCTTTCTGCTTACATGATTTTCCCCATTCGGAAGAAGCCAACTTTTTAAGTATACCGACGATCTGACTGTTTCTTTGCCGACGGTCACTTCTCAGTCAAACTGTTCCAAAATGAATAACCTTTTATCGGAAATTAGTCAGTGGTCCTCGTTAAATGGCCTTGAGCTTCATCCCTCCAAATTTCAGTCAGACTGTTAATTTCACTTTCAGATGCAAGCGCGACTTACGTGGACTCGTCAGTTCTCATGGCTGCACCATCGTAAATGGCACAGAAGTTGAAACCAGATTGAATGTTAAATACCTTGAACTGCATACTTTCTCTGATCAACTTTCCTGGTCTTCCTACATCATGTCAGTTTCTAGGAAGGCCTTTTGTTTGAGGTTCTATGTAAGGAAGTTAAAACGATCTGGTATCATTCCGTCTGTACTATTAATTCTTGTATTCTGTCTATACTTATTTACTTCATCCCCTTAAGGAGGACTTTGTTATACTGAGAAGGGCACTAAAAACCATCAGTTGGGTGAGTAGTGTTTTGCTAAACAAAATCGTTAATACTACTGTAGATAGAGGCACGGATATCGTCTTGTCTGACCCTCAGCATTCACTCTATACAAACCTTTCTCTTTGTACTTCATCAGGTTGGACTAAAAGCAACTATTGAAGACTATGCTCGGATGACTACGTATAAATGCTCTGTAATGCCTTATTTGGCACACGTTTTATGTCATGAGAAAAGTGTGTAAGGCAGCAAATCACCAACTTAATACAGAACTCTAAGTAAATGGCCCCATTTTAGTTTTTTTTTTACTGTTACATTGTTGTTAATATTTTCACGGGTTGATCACGAATTGATATCAGTTAGAGAATCATTGAAAACCAGCACTGGAGTACTGGACAGCTGTTTCATCATAGTCTTTAGGGAATCATCAGCAGTACGCACCCACCTCCAGGGTTCTTCTAATTACAAGGCAAGCTAGCTCGTATACAATTCAGCCACTGAGACTCGACTCAATAGCTAATGAATTGTAACTTGTACCAATTCGTGATTTAGCGCAACCTCAACCAATGTCGTCGGTGGGACATCTATCCTAACACGTGACTGCATGGAGCTCATGGTTAGAATTCATGCCGTAAGTGCAGTGTTTTCAATTATTCCTCCTCTAATGATTAGGTTAGGTGCGTTAATGTACTACTATATGCTCAAAATTCCATATTTGTACTAAAAGTACTCTTTGGAATGAAGCTATTATTAATATATATTTCCAGGGTGAAATGCAGCCACTCTATTTAGTACACCGTTTCTCGTCAGTCGAAAATTCGCTCCGTCCTTCTCTACGGCTCTGAAACATGGCCAATACGCGTTGAAGACATGAAAAGGTTGACTGTTTTTGATCATAGATGTCTGCGATCTCTGTCTCACGTTAGGTGGTTTCACAAGATAAGTAATGTTGATGTTAGGCATAGAGTGTTGGGCAAAGAGGGAAAATCAATCGACGAGGCTATAAAGTTACATAGACTAAGATGGCTAGGTCACGTGCTACGCATGCCTAACCACCGCCTCCCCCGACGGGCTTTGCTAGCTGATATAGGTTCAGGTTGGAAAAGAGCCAGTGGTGGCCAAACAAAAACATGGCATCAATCCATGAAATCCTTGACAGTTAAACTGAGTCAGGTAGGGAGATGCAGACTTCCGGGTTGGGGCCCTCGGGACTGACTCTAGGAATCAATGGCTGGAGACAATAGGTGACATGGCTCAAAATCGTTGTCAATGGCCAGCGCAGATGTATTCAGTCTCTGTAATCTTTCATATTCCTTTCTACCATTACCCATTCTGTTTCACTCTTATACTTGTCAAACTGTATTGATTCTCTTCACTCATCTTCTTGTCTACCTCTGTGGGCTATTTGGAACGTGGCAACTCGAACTGCTGCACTTCGGTGCCAAGTTCTATGTTGAATCCAGACAGACAGACAGTCGAAAATTCAATGGCATAAGTTATGATAAAGAAGTTTAAATCTACAACAAGCTTATAGGTGAAAACCAACAAACTGGCAGAAGAAACAGACAACAAAGACAGAAATCCAAGTGAACATACAGAAGACGGAGGTGATAAAGACAACCGACAAGCCAAGAGCAACAACAACAACAACAAAAGACACCAATCACTCTCAATGAAAGAAAATTAAAAGACGTCGCTTCCTTTGCTCATCTGGCTAGGCAACATCGTTTCAACTACAAGCAGTTACCATAGATGAAGAATTCAAGACTAGTCAGAATCAGTAAGGCAAAGAAGACCTTCATCACTCTGATGAAATCAGTTTGAAAATCTTCCACATATGGATCAGAAACTTGGCCAGAATGCGTTATGAACAGCAATTCCAACAGGCTGATGCAGACTTTTATCATCAGCTGTGCCCACTTCACCGTCTCCATTCTGAAGATCAGATGGTAGGCTGGCTAGAAAGGATTAGCAACAAGAAGCTGTAAGGAAAGAACACATCAAAAATGAAAATGGAGTCGGATTGGACAAACACTGAGAAAGCCATGGAGAGTGACATCTTGTGTCAGGCCATCTCTTGAGTGAAACCTGAGTAGGAAACAACGAGATGGGTGTCACTTCGAGCGTGATGATATGGAAGAGACTGTGTAAAGAGGAGATAAGAGTCAATGGGTAACTATGTGGGCAGCTGAATAGGAATGCCTAGATCAGGATGAAATGGAGATAGTAGTGCAGGTGTTCCCCACCTAGTATCTTGGAACTCATCAATAGTAAGCACCCACCATAGGGGTTCGAACCTATGACCTTCAGGTTACTAGGCCAGTGAGCTCGTATACCATTCAGTCACAGAGACCGACTGGATGGTTACGACTTCTCACTAGAAGTCCAGGAAACTCAGTCCTGTAACCAGTGAATAGTGAACATCAGATTAATTTTCAAGGGTTGATTTGTAACGATTTGACCTGTTTATAACCCTCCTGCTGATTACATTATTACAGCATTTTGCGACAGCGAATCTCACCGACATTTATCTATTCAGTCCTCTCGAAATCACTGACATGCATCATGTTTTCTATTTTTATGATAAGTGAGCGATAATAATAAGAGTAATACATTAGGGGAAAATCCCAACTGGGTTTGAGCTTAATATTCAGAGATGATTGGTAGATTATTGTTACTATCATTTGTTTGTATTCCGAGTGGAATATTGGGCCCACAATCTTCCACTTCCTCCCTACACGATTTTCTCTACGTTGGCCACAGAAGCATGCCCAATACTTGGCTTCCCGTTCGCGTTCCATTCGAGGGTGTGCTTGGCTTGTGATGTGGCTCAATGGTGTCCTCAGCGTATGTCCCATCCACCTGCGTTTTCGTCTGCATATTTGTCAGCAACACGATCCTAACTAGTTCAGTACTTGTCAGAGTTCCATGTTGCTGCCTTATATTTCTCCAGGCGGACATCTGATATTTCGTATCCAGCAAAGGTAGTTATTTGCAATTAATAGTGTTCTCTGAGCTGGTTGGTTCAGTTGCGGAGCTTTCGTCGTCTTTCTGGACGGCATCTTCAGCACAGTATTTAGCATAAAGTTAAATGATTTAAAAGTCTCCATGAATGATGAAACAATCGCGTCTCCTGGTGACCAACCATCTTCACATATGTACTGACCGTTTTCTATTGATTGGGATTTTAAACTTTCTGGTCATCTGATTTACTTTTTATTAGTTGATATATTTCATCTATATTAACTTGTTTATTAATGGCATTTTTGTTTGAGTACCAGGGTTCTAGGAATTCCAAGAGAGTTGAAAAGAATGGAAGAAAAATACTTACAAACGGTCTTAAAGAAGAATGGTTATCCAAAAAAATTTCATCAAAAAGTGTTTAAAGTCGAATCAAAGTACCAACAGAGAGCCATCACCAAAGACCAAAAAGAAATTCATCCTATCATACATCAGAAATATCTCTGAAATAACAGCTAAAATACTGAAACCGTTTGATATAGATGTAGCACACAAACCAGTCGAATCGCTTAATTCGATCTTATGCAAACCGGAACACCCAACAGAAAAAGGAGATAAAATTAACACCATTTACAAAATAAATTGTATGAACTGTAACAAGCATTACATCGGCCAAAATAGGTGTCCCCTTCGAATAAGAATCCAAGAACACAAGTCAGCCGTGAAAAGACATGATATAAATTCTTTAGTATCAATGCATACAGATAATTATTAACATCAGTTTGAATGGGGTAATATCAAAATCTTCAACAGAGGAAACACCAAATGTCCCGGGGAATTCCTAGAAGCCAAGCCTGGTACTCAAACGAAAATGCCATTATTAAACACGTTCATATAGATGAAATATATCAACTAATAAAAAGTAAATCAAGTGACCAGAAAATTTAAAATCCCAATCAATAGAAAACGGTCAGTACATATGTGAAGATGGTTGGTCACCAGGAGACGCAATTGTTTCATCATTCATGGAGATTTTTAAATCATTTAACTTTATGCTAAATACTGTGCTGAAGACGCCGTCCAGAAAGACGACGAAAGCTCCGCAACTGAACCAACCAGCTCAGAGAACACTATTAATTGCAAATCATCCACCTGAGTTACAAATCTTTTCTATTATTTCAAAGGCAGTTATTGATGGAATTTTGGAGTGGTCCATTCGAGATGCTTTTAGTGACGCACTCACCAAGTCTCTGGA